AACTACTACGGGGCCTATGGCTAGACCCCTGCTTGCTCTCAACAATCCTGGCCTTTCGCCCGGCGCAGGCGGGCGGCGTCGTGAGTTGCTGCCCAGGCGCCTGGGGGAGCTGTTTCATAGGGGCCTTTAGGGTTTAGGATTTAAGGTTTAGGGTTTTAGGGTTTAGGGTTTAAGAGTTTAGGTGTTCACTCTAAAGTCCTGAGGATTGAGGATTTATGGTTTTAGGGTTTAGGGTTTAGGAGTTTAGGTGTTAACTCTAATCACCCTGCTTGATAACCCAACTTGTAACTACCCATGAACCTCCAAGTAGGCGGCGCCTTACTTAGTGGAGCGAGTGTTCATAAGGTGTACATAGAGGGCTTTTGACAGAGTTCTGGAGGCAGCTCGAGAGGTTCTAGGCTGTACTACATAGGTCGTAGCGATAAGAACAGGGCTTTGCATTACACCATGATATACCATATAGTATAGTATATAGCCATACTATATAGTATAGCATAGTATAGATATGCTACACTAAGCACAATTACAACTCTTTAGGGTTTAGGGTTTAGACTTGAAAATGCTACGCCCAGATCCCACGCATAAACTCGGTTTAGATCAGGGTTTATAGGGCTACAGAACCCCAAAACCCCGAGGCCTCACGCGAGGATTTAAAAAAACGCGTGAAACCTGAAGACAGGGCACAACGATCGTGATCTCCATCGCCGTGCTGATCGGAGTGTGACTGTGTCTTCGCATCGACAAGCACCGATCTCAGGGTACTCAGGATTTCAGGTTTGGGTGCCGAGGTTTCAAGGGTTTGGGGTTTAGGCCAAGCTTTCGGAAAACCAGAGAGCACACTTCATGTTGCACCCTGTGGTTACAAGCCCTTTACCGCCCCCCCTACTCAACTTGACAAAACACTAGAAGCATGACCAAGGCAAACTGACATCGAAGTGCCAGCCGCAAGGCGTCCTCAACATGGGTTTCAACGCTGACCTCTGTGGTATATTGGGCTCGCTCAGCATGAAAGACAAGAAACCGCAACCACACTCCAAAAGCCGAAAGCCCTGAAAGACCAAACAAGCTGAAACCACCAACTCTGAACTAAACCCTCAGGGCTCCCAACAACCTAAACACCCACAAAGACTCAAGCAAAGCTCAAACCGTAAAAACCTAAACCCTGATGTAGTACACTGACAGCACACCCGCAAAAGACCAAAATGCAAAAAAACAAAACCCTCAAAACCCCTGACAGACAAAAACCTCATGGCCTACCAATCCTAACACACCATTAAATGCCAAGTCCAACCCCACGTTTCACACCCAAACCCTGAACCCTAAAACCCAACCCCTCAGCCCCAAATCCCTAAACCCCACATCCCAAAACCAAAAACACAACACCAAGTCCCACATCCAACCCCTGAACCAAAAACCCTTTACTAAACCCCGAAACCCAGCCCAAAACCCAAAAGCCCAAAGCCCGATACCCAAAACCACCAAAGCCTAAACCGTGATCGCTAGACCCTCAACCCTAAACCCTAAACCCTATACCCTAAATCCTAGACCCGAAACCCTAAACCCGCCAAGTCCCACCTCCACTTTCCGGCGACTCCGGCATCTCTGGCGGCTCCACACAAAAGCCGTAGATCGGAGCCTCTTAAGCCACAGCTGGAGCTCACGAGTTTGGGCCCCTTTTAGGGGATACTTACGGGATTCTATAAGGGTCCCTTTAGGGTTTGGGGTTTAGGGTTTAGGGTCTGTAAGGATACTTATAAGGGATTCTATAAGGGTCCCTTTAGGGTTTGGGGTTTAGGGTTTAGGGTCTGTAAGGGATACTATAAGGGATTCTATAAGGGTCCCTTTAGGGTTTGGGGTTTAGGGTTTAGGGTCTGTAAGGGATACTTATAAGGGATTCTATAAGGGTCCCTTTAGGGTTTGAGGTTTAGGGTTTAGGGTCTGTAAGGGATACTATAAGGGATTCTATAAGGGTCCCTTTAGGGTTTGGTTTAGGGTTTAGGGTCTGTAAGGATACTTATAAGGGATTCTATAAGGGTCCCTTTAGGGTTTGGGGTTTAGGGTTTAGGGTCTGTAAGGGATACTATAAGGGATTCTAGAAGGGTCCCTTTAAGTCTGCAAGGGGTCTGCATGGGATACTAAAAGGGTACTATAAGGGTCCCTTTAAGTCTTTAAGGGATCTGAAAGGGATGCTGTAAGTTTAGGGTTTAGGATACGTACTAGAAGGGTACTAAAAGGGTTCTTTAAGGGAACTGTGAAGGTTACCATAAGGGTTAGTTACTACGAGGGTACTATAAGGGTCCCTATCAAGGATCTAAAAGGGTTACTATGAGGATACTTTTTGGTTACTATAGGGGTTACTATGAGGGATCTATAAGGGCTACTCTAAGGGTGCCCTGTGGGTTACTGTAAGCGTTTAGGGCATTGCGGTTTTAGGGTTTCTTAGGGCTTAGGGTCTAGGATTCGGGGTGCAGGGGTTTCGGGTTTGGGGCGCTGGGGGTTTAGGGTGTCAGAACTTAAGATATAAGGGTCAAAGGCTTTTACGACAATACGCCACTTAGTTAAGAACTGCTTTCCAGAACGGCCTAGTATCAGGTGTGGGGTCTGTGACACACCCTATAGACTCAGACTCTTTCGCCCGGCAGCGGCACCTTGGTAGGAGCGTCACTCAACCTGCGCAGTATCTCCAGGTTCGGGCTCTTGCAGCTTGCCTTGGCTGGCTTTGCACTCCTCTTAAGCTTAAACTGTTGACCCCAAACTCTAAGCCCTAAACCTCAATATCATACAACAAGCTAAAGTCCTAAACCCTGAAGCTTGTGCCCTAAACCCCAAGACCTAAATCCTATATAGGCCCCATACCCCGTACCCTAAACCTTAAGCGCCCCTAGAACCACAATAAACATGGTTTCTGTAATAATCTAAGAACCCTTAGGGTTGTGTTTTACTAAATATATAAAACATGATTCAGAAGAACACACCTCGAGCCCTAAACCCCATAGACGCTGAACCCCTAAGCCCAAAGTCCTAAGCCCAATACCCTACACCCTAAACCCCTCAGCCCCAAAACCGTAAAACCCTAAACCCAACCGCAATACCCTAAACCCTAAACCCTAAACCCTAAACCCTAAACCCTAAACCCCCCAACGCCTTTAGCCTGAACCCTGAGCCCCCTACAGCGCAAACCCTGAGCCAAGTTGCCAGTTCCAAAGGGCTCGGGGGAGGTCGCCGAGCCTTTCGTGTATCCATGACCGGGTTGCGGTTCGAGAACTTAGTTTTTAAGTTACCATAAGAGCGACGTATGGTAAATAATTGGGTTCCATATTATAGTAACTTCATTTCAACATACTAAACTCCTGGTTGCTGTTAAAGAACTGAATGTTAAGTTACCATAATAGCGATATACAGTTAATCATTGGGTTCCTTATTGTAACAGTAACTTCATTCTTAGAATACTAAGTTCCTCAGCAACACCCAGATGAGCTGACTGTGCTTGGACGTTTCGTTTTTTGGAGGGGGGGTGCCCCAAACCCTAAACCCCAAAGGTGATGTGGGGTTCTAAAGTTGAGGGGTACCTCATGTAGGGGGCCCTGTGATATGAACCTACTTTCAGAGTGAGGGTCCTTTAGCCAGAGAGCCCAATACCCCTTAATTAAGGAAGATACCGTAAACCTATAGTTTAAGGTATATTGCCCAGGATCGGGCGCCTTGTCGGTCTTCAGGGTGTGCGATTTAGGGTTTAGGGTTTAGGGGTGTTGTGACTCGCGGATGCTAAGCCCAGAGGACCCAATACCCTTAATTAAGGAACATACCTTAAATATTAATATTGATGCCCCATAATTTATACCCCTTAATTAAGGAATATACCGTAAATCATAATATTAAGGCCCTTAGAATTTCGGGTCTATTCCTTAATAAGGTGTATTGGGTTGTTCAATATAGGGGAGTTTGGGATATGTTAGCGCCTTTAGGTACAGTATATCAACTCTGCAGACGTGTGGGGTTCTTAGTATGGTATTGTATACTTCAACAGGCAAAAAGCGGATAATATTGATATTCCCGCCCCAGATCGCGAGGGCCCAACCTGCCCGAACCCCAAACACACCCGAACTAAATCCTGGCGCCCTAAGCCCGAAATAAACCTCGAGCGGCCCTAACTAAACCCTAAACCCTAAACCCTGGAGACCCAAACTCTTGGGCCCTAAACCCTAAACCCTGGGTCCTAAACCCTAAACCCTGGGGCCTTAAACTCTGAACCCTAGCCTGGGGCCCTAACCTCTTGGGCCCTAAACTCTGAACCCTAAACCCTTGGGCCCTAAACCCTAAAC